GAGGAGGACGGCGAGGAGCGCGGCCGCGGGAGCGGAGCCCCTGGACTAGCAAATCGAACGTGGGTTAATTCTGTGCTTGATGTCAGGACCACAGCGAAGTGCAGGGATTTGGCTGGTGTGCAAAGAAAGCAGCCGTGTGGGCGCACTAACCTCAGCCCGGAGGAGGTGCACGTGGCAGCAGCGTTGGGAAAATAACACCACAACTCCAGAATCTGTATTCCTCCTCAGTCTGAGTGTCGCTTGTTAGGAAGTCAAGAAAGAAAAAGCCATGTGACTTTTGCAATTCTTTATCATATGTAAATATATGTCCAAAGCTTGCTAACACATGGATGGATATGTTGCAATGCATAGATTTGCTTCTGACTTAACAGCACATCTGGAAAGAGAACAAGAAGTGGAAACTGCAGAGTAGGTCCAGCTGAGAAATGGATAATGCAGGAGTAGCAAACATGGAGTTGCAAAATCAAAAAGAAAACTCAGTGCAGCTTTGTGAGCTGCAGCCCCTAAGGCTTCCTCAGCAGACGTGAGCCACCTCCCAGGGTAGCTTCTGTTGGGATCTTGTGCAAGGAGGAGTCTCCAGCCCCAAACTGTGGCAAAAAGGACTGAGGCTTCTTTACCTTTAACCTTCCTTTAACCTTTGACTGTGCTCTGTCAGGAAATAGAGCAGTTCCCTTGTGCTGCCATTCCCTTGGTTTCTTGCATCCTGCTTTCCTGGTTTTTCTTTCTCAGTGCCTGTTTTTTTTTTTTTTTTTTTTCCCAGGCAATTAGAAGACGCTCTTTCTGTCAAATGCTCTAGGGTTATCTGATGTGAGACTCTGAACTTTTGCCTTTTGCACTATTGGGAAAGGAGTGAGGCAAATTCTATGAAAAGCCTTTTAGAGTGCTCTGATAGCTGCAGGCAGGGTCATAAGAAGAGCAAAAAAATCTAAGAGCTCTTCTGCTCTGGATCCCTCTTCCGTCACCGTTTCTGTTGTGAAACGCTGACCTAGAGCCGAGGAAGAGCTTCTTGCGGAAAGCACGTGAGGATATCTGGGGAGTCTGGCCTGCCTGTCCAAAGGGTGAGGAAGAGTTTTGGCAAGCTCATTTCCTTGGACTGCGTAAGGATCCTGCTTCCTTCTTCCACATGGTGCTACACTGGGATTAACCTCGGAAGTACCTTATGGGCAGCCCCTTGGCCCTGTCTGATAACCAGCATGTGCACCTCAGGTGAAGTGCGGCACATTGGCTCTGAAGCCAGGCTGTAGTCCTCCTTGTAGGAAGGAAACTTGGTGTCCTGCCAGCCCTATGAAAGGCCTGTCACTGGGCAGGGCTCAGGTTTGGTCCCAGTGACTTTGGAGCTTGCTTTGGGGCGCTGCTGGGCCTTCCTGAGAACTGGGCACAAAACACACCTCATGGGCAGCCATTGAAAGTGCGACCTCTCTTACCACCCCCTGAGAGGAGGGTGCTGCAGGGAGCAGCTGAGGATGTGGGCGCTTCCCCGTGTGAGCACCCGTGCGCAGCGCTGGGTCGTGGGGCTGCTGTGCTGCAGCCGAGGATACTTTAAGCCCGCTGAATCATAGGAATTAGTGCCTGGTGTTACCATAGAAATGGGATCTGTTGCTAGGGATGGGGAGTTGGTCGTCACTTGGCTCTGCTGCTGCATGGTTCCAGCGTGAGCTCATGGGGAAAGGGAGCCCAAGTTCTTGTTCCCTGTCCCTCTGGGAACAGAGGTCAAGCAGCTCTGCCAGGCCCCATGGGACCACGTCTTAACTTTGCCTGCATCTCTGGCTGGCTGAAACTGTCAGCCCCTGTGTATTTGCTGAACTGCCTTGGCCTTCTGCTGCCCTTATATGTCTTGCTCTTTCCTATTTTGAGATCTCATTTCATTTGTTTTGCAATAGTTTCCAAGCATTTGGGAGCCACAAGGAAGTAGAAACTGGTTGTAAACTGGTGAGTAAGAGCTAAGGGGTGGCAGGACACCTTGGAGAGATCTCTGGGGTGGGGGGACAAACACTGAATATCCAATTTCCTGTCCTCTCAAAATTTGCCAAAGTGCAATGCTGCCCCAAGCATGGGCATGACACCTTCTGCTCAGTTTCTCTGAGCTTTCATTCTCTGTGCTCATGTCTGTGTAACCGATTGATCATCATGTGCTGGATAGATGCATATATTCATGCTCCAGGGATGGAGGGGTCGAAATGTTAGTGCCCCTCTCCATTCTGCCCAAGGAAATAACTGAGCCTTTCTACAGAAGGGCATTCTAAGACTCCTTAGATCACCTGCAAAGCAAGCCCAAGCCTGCCTAAGCCCAAGGAGCAACACTGCAGAGCATCTTGCTGGTGCAAGGTGTCGCTTCTGCTTGTTCTGTTGCAGTTCCTCCTGGTTTGCTGCCTCCTGGCTGCTGAATTACTGTCCTTTGGGCTGTGTGAGCCCTCTAGACCTGCATGTTTTTCCTGTCCCGTCTTTCCTTGCTCATACCCAGAACAGTGACATTAGATGGTAGTGGCCCTTTCTTGGGGACTTCCCTGAGAGTCGGGGTCCTTAGGAGAACAGCTGTGCTCGCTTGCTCTGGGTTTGGCATACACACCGCTCTGAGCGAGAAGTGTTTGCAAACAGCAGCAAACACAATGAGCTCTCTGTTGTTTCCCCCACCTCCTAAGTCCTTGCTTTCCTCAGCAGTTTGGCTTGGTGGAAAGTGCTTGTTCTAGCAATATAGCTTTAGTATAAGGGATGATTCCTGTGCTCCTTACTGTTGTGTAGAAGAAAGGAATTGCTGGGTGGTGCTGAAAGGAGGTCTGGTGTGTGTGTGTGTGTGTGTGTGTGTGTGTGTAGTTCTCCCATCTTAGTTGCTCAGCTGAAAGCTTGTTTGAAGCAGCTCCAAGTTCCTCCCCTCTGTGTTCCCAGCAGAGTGAAGCGCCCGCTCAGCTGCTGCTGGGAGCTCCAGCCCTCTCTCAGGGTGGGCAGGGGTGATTCTCGGGCACCACTGGGGAAAGAGCTGGGCTTTGTGGCAGGGGGCTGTAGCTGCTACAGCAAGGGCGTCAGGCTGGTGCCGGTGCCGCCTGTCACCCCACTCTGCATCTCGCTGCTGCTGCCGTGTCGGGAGAGAAGCTGATGTGGACACAGCTGTGCTCGAGCAGGGACTCGCCGAGGGCTGGTACAGGCTCCTGATGGAACCTGTAGGAAAGAACGTGACGTGTTGGTGCTTTGGGCTTTGGAGGAGGGGGAGTTTATGCCTTTCTGCCTTGATTCCAGGGAGAGGGATGACGTCTGAATGGTTAAAGGTGTGTTATGGGAGGCTTTTGGAGAAATCAATGAAGAGAGGAAGAGCTTCAGACAGGCAGTGCGATCTCAGTGTCTGACCAAGCAATCTCTGCAGTTTTCCTTCTAGACACTGCAAAACGAACTGCAGTATTTGGGGACCATGGCTACAGACCCACTGTCAGAACTTCAGGATGACCTGAATTTGGATGATACCAACCAGTCCCTCAACCAGCTCAAACTGGCCTCCATAGATGATAAAGACTGGCCATCGGATGAAGTCCCTGTTTTTCCCAAATCAGGTGAGTATTCCTGCTTGCTTAACGTCTGGGTTTAGTCCAAAAAGCATTAATTTGTCCTGCAATACCGTGGCTGTACCTACATGTACAGAGAGTCCCAGTTCCATATGGAAGTTTGCTCATACGACACCTGAGAGAGTTAGCCCTGCCCCTGAACAGCTGAAAGAACTAAGTGTAAAAAATCAAGGCTCGCTGATATTAATATAGTCCTGCCAGACCAGGTCTGGCTACACATTGATGCTGACAGTACAGACATGCTGTAAGTCCTGGAGTGGCCTCTGGTCTCTTACAAGATAGCTTGGCTTTCCTTGTTGGAAAGATCTTGGACTTCCATGTGGGAGGTGGGACTGGGGATCTGAGTAGTTGCTGTGAAATCCTGTAGGAATCCAACCAACACTATTTTGTGGACTGCGTTGCCCGAAGAGAGCAGCAGAGTTAGCCCCAAGGTGTTGGACAGCCATCCCTCCAGGGAGTATGTGGAGGTCCTCCTGCTGTCAGCGGCCATGATCCTGCCCTTGGTACTTAGACTTTTGGAAGCAGGTTTCCAGAGCAGCCAGGTCCATGCGTGAATTCCCCCATGTTGTGAAACCATTTGCTTCCAGCCCTCTCTGTTGCCCTGCCCCTTGCCAAGGTGCCCTAGATACATTCTGCTGACTGTTTATTCTTTGTGTTTTGTGCAGAGGACTCCAAAGCCTCCCCTGAGCCTGTCACTCATCTGCGGTGGGATGATCCCTACTATGATATCGCCAGGCACCACATCGTGGAAGTAGCAGGTGGGGCTCTTTTCTGTCTGTTTCCTCTCAAGATGTTTGTTGCAGCTGGGGTGAGGAAGGGCCTTTTTGATGGGGCGGTGGAGATATCTGCTCTATGTCAGGCCCAAGTGGCAAAGGGCAGCTGGCATTATAAGGAGAAGGAGCACCAAACATCTAGAATGTGTTAATTAAGTTTAATTTTCCATTGACCTTGTTTCTTGGGTCTTACTGTCTTGATTATGTTACTAGTAGGGTTCAGTAGGGTTCAGTTGCTTTAGCAGAAATGTTTTAGATTTATCCTCAGTGGAAGATGTGGATAACGCTACAGAAATTGTCTAGTTACACAGTGTCATTGCAAGCTCATCGGCTGACTCAGTAATCCACAATAGACTTGGCAGCTATTACAGTTGAATGACCAGAGCTTGCTGTCCTGTCCCTACACAGCAGTTTTGAGAAGTCCGGAATATGGGGAAAATGCACAAGGCCCACTGCAAGGAAGGTCCTGATGTTTTTTCTGTGATGGGTCACATCCATTCTGATTTCTTACTTGTGGCTGTCTTGTAAATATTATTTTAATTACACTAACCTTTAGCGAGGTGCTCCCGGGAGCTCCATAAGAAAGACTTTTGGGAGTAGTTTTGAGTTGCTGTGGTAAGGCTGAGAGAAGGTAATTTCAATTTGTTCTGCACTCCCTGCTACAAAAAGCCTCTTTAACCTGTTGTGACTTGATTCACACTTCTTCCTTGATTATCTATTGTTATCTCTTCCCCTTCGTTCTGCCTTTCTTTTATTGTACCCTACTCCCTGTCCAGCATGTGAAATTCAAGAGAAGCAGAGTTGTAACCTGGAGTCCTTTTAATTAGAGGTTGTTCTGCAGTAGGGTTTGATTGGAGAGGGAAGATTCTCAGGCAGATACCTTGGTAAGAGTTGTCCTATCTTCATCGTTCTTTCCTTGGCTTAGAACAAAGTTTCTTTCTCTTGACTCCTGGTATTACATTGTTTAGGAACACAAAATGGTAACGGTGAATTCAAAACTTCATTCTTTATCTCACTGTGCCTTGGCTGCTTGGGTTGGCAGGTGAGTTTTCAGCCTTTGGGCTGCTGTGCCTTTTTAAATTCTCTTTTTAGTGCTTTGGTTCACAAATGTATTACTAACCTGAAACTTTCAGGAACCCTACTCCCAGGACTGGGTTTGCTATGACTCTGCACCTTGTTCTCCCTACTGCTGAAATTCGGATGGGGCCGATGTGTGGATGCTGCTATGTCAGTGATAACTAGAATATTTGGCATGCAAATGGCAGAGGTAGCCGTTGTTTCTGAACTCTGGGGGCTGGTGAGTTAAATGATACTTCTCTTGACTTCAGACAAAACCTAAGCACTTAGCAGAGAGCTTAGATCAGAGCCATTGATAAGACTGGAATGTCGCCTGAACCAAGGATACGCTTTCTGTGCTGCCTTCTGATGTAAACACCGGCCTTCCTGGGGCACTTGTATTCCAAGGTAACACAATGCTTTTTTGCAAGCTCTCTGGGCAGAGTGTCCCTGGGACGGGGCTAGCACTGCTGCTGGAAAGCAGCAGTTTGACACGGACGTCTAGGGTAGTAAGGGAAGTGATCCCTGCCTTCCTGGAAGGATTCCAGGGGGTATCATGGCTGACTGGAAGATATGGCTGTGTTATGAGAGAAATTTCTTCCCCATCATGGTTTAGATTTGTGGTTTTGGCAAGTTTTTCATCCTTTTCCTGCATCCCTTTATAAAGTAAAAGCCTTTCATAGAAGCATCTGCTGTTGGCTGCCGCTGTCTGTTTTACCCTGGTTTATGTAAAAGCTTATGAACGTCTTCCCCCCAGAAGGTGGTGCAATGTCTTTCTAGGGCAAGGAATGCCTAGCAGCACAGCTCCAGATGGTGGATATGCTTACAGATAGTTTTGAGGCTCACTGGAGTCTCTTCTCCTGGAAGCAGAATTTATGAAGTTGATCAAAGGGACCTGAATCATAATTTGGGCTCTGAGTTGAAGCTGTTTGTTCAGTTTTCCTGGACAATAATAATGTCAACTGTTCAGAGAATCAGACAGGGTTATGTTTCCTGGGCTGTGATAGGAGGCAAACAATCTGTGAGATCTGGAAAAATCCTATTGGAAGTAGCCTGGGTGATTAAAATTGAACTGTTTGGACCTGACCTGCTGACAAGTTCTGCTTTTAGGGGCAAGGAAGGTTCAACATGCAGAACCAGCAGGGAGGACCCCTCGCTGCTGCCTCTGTGTGTAGCAGCAAACAGCCACAGACTGCGTGCAGTTTTATCCATTCTGCTGTGCACGAGCTTTCATTGCTGAGTCCTGCCCTGCCCTGCACTTCAGAGCAGAAAGTGTATGGCTAATTCTGTTTTTGTCTTCCCTGAAATACATTCTGGGATGCTGATGCTATTTTGGACAGAAGCAGAGGGCCGGTTCCCACCCTCGGGCTGAGCTCCATGAGCCCGGAGTTATCTCGTGCAGTCAGAATAGTAATTGTTTCTTGAGGGATGGGTGTACTGTGCTAATAGACAATAGCTATTTTTTTTAAAAAAAATTATATTTGCAAAAAGTTCACACGCATTTTCTAGCTGATTCAGTTGTCAGCAAGACATGTTGATTTGAATATCCTGGCTATCTACCCCACAGAGGAAGAGAATTATTCAAAAAAATGTTGTAGAATTCTCCAGAAAATGGATTTCTTGTTTTGTTTTCCACTCAAAATAGTGCAGTGGCCTCGTGGGGACTCTCCTTTGCACCCTGTGCCCCTGTCTCGTGTCGGGGCTGGATCTGCACAGCATGTGCTGACCGCAGTGCCCTGCTTTGTGTCCCCTGGTAAGGAGCAGCTGTGTCACTGCTGTCCCTCAGCAGTGGCAGGGGAAGGTGGGGGCACGAGCCCCCCAGATTCTCCTTCCCCCAGCCCCACCCCACAGTTCTAAGAATATTTTAGTGTGAGATTCTGTCTTTTGGTTCAGTGTGCTTCCAAAAATGCACATGCTAATCTTTGTCTGGACTTTCTGACTTGCCTTAAAGTGTCTGTTCCTGGGTTGTGTTATGTTGGCCCTGGAGAGGTTTCTGCCTGAGTGCTGTCCTGGACTCCGAGTTCCTCATCTTGTGGGCATTGTAGCAGACAAATTTGTCGTTACGCATGCCTAGAAGCTGGAGCACAGGAGGTTTGATTTCACTGTACACACCACTTCTGCAGTGTGGGTTTTTTGGCTTTTTAACTTGCTCACATCACATAGCATTTAGAGGAAACCCAGGCTTGTGGCTGAAGGCTATGAGGATCTACCCCAAACTTCTGTAGGGGTGTTTCTGTATCCTGTTGCTGTTTTTTATATGGCAAAAGTGCTACTTCTATCTTTTTGGCAACTGAGTGGAGAGCTGACAGTGTCCAGCTGCTGATTTCCAGCAGTTTTGATGGTGACTCTTTTTGGTGTCTAGTGCCAAACTTGCTTTGAAAAGCACTGCAGCTGCCTGTTGTTGATGCCATCCCATACAGGGTGCTGGTGACAACCCTGTGACTAGCGCTGATGATTTGCTCTTGCTGCTAATCACTGACAGGGGAAGATAAATCAATATAGCAGCGCTGGCAGTTGTTCTCTCATGAAAGAAGCAAAGGCCAAAGCTGCAGGTGAAACTTCCATTGAAAGTATGAGGGGTATATCTTTGGTGAGAATTTTGTTCCCTTAACTGTGTTCCTCTCCAGTATGGTACGTTATTATTTCCTCCGTTAACACAGGATGGGTGCATTTCTGCTGCATTGGGGTGTAGTTTCTGGCTTTGGTGCAAATTTATTTGTTATTTAATTGGCATGGTAAGGTTTGAGTTGCTTCTGATGCCCTCCCAAAAGAAGTCCAGCTTGTGCCCCATTTTTTGACATGTGTGATCAAGGGAACCAAGAGTTTTTAAAATAGCCCTGCTCTAAGCTGTCCCTTGTAGTAGGTCACAGTCGACATGTGCAGGTCTGTTGAGAGCATAGATGCAGAAGTGATGGGAAGTGTTTGGGGATGGCAGTAAATGTCTTCACAGACTCCTCCCTGCCCATGGGAAATAGTGGGGTTTTTTTTGTTGCTGGTTTTTTTTTTTTTTTTCCTAAGCATCCATTAAGAAGATTTTTAGGAAGCCACAGACTCATTGGAATCTAAATTGTTTTCATCTTCTGCCTATCTGTGAAATGTAGCTTCTTGCAAAGCAATCTTTGGAATATATTATTCATACAGTTCGATGCCATCCTCTGTACACTTCCAAGGTTGTTCAAGGGCCCTTGATGTTCAAAATTAGGTGCCCTTGACCCAATTAAAAGGGGTGGTATCGCAGCTGCCATTTTGCATGTGCGACAAGCAAAACAGCAAGGGTAAGAAATTTGACTATGATTACACAGCACTGGATGAAAATTCAAGAAAGACTCAGGAATTGTGAGTTGCTGTTATCACTTCTATTTGTCAAAATGTTGCTTTGGAAAAATTTGGGGAAAAGATGAAGTTGAGAGAGTTGAGTGCTGAGAGCAAGTGAATACATCCCAATGATCTCTTGGGAAAGGATGTGAAACTTGGCTTGCTTTAACTTTGTTTCTATTCCTCCAGACCAGGGTGCACTTGATGGGGCTCAACCAGGTAGGTAGATTTTTTGTGGCACTAACATTTGATGCTGTAGATCATGATATTCCTTTAGCATGACCATGGCCTGCAACTGGGTTGTCTCAGGGGAGCCCAAACTTTGCTCAGCCTTGGGTTGCACTAGCAACTTCTCAGGAGTCCAAAGGCTGAACTTAGTTGCCATCTCTGAGGGCTGCGCTTCTGCCTCAGGGGCAGCAGAATCGTCTGAGTCAATTTGGCCTGTGGGCTTTACTTTGGGCACTTTGGGGCTCTTGGGTCTCAATGTAAATTCTGTTCCTCCTCTGCCATGGTGGTGGCCTCTTTGGACCAGTTCCGTTTGAACACAAAGTGGTAAATCATTTTGTCCTACGTGCTTCAGAAGTTCATCCTAGGATTGCTTCCTGTTCCTTTGTATGATCTGCTGTTGTCACTTGCTGGGCAGCTGGCACTTGCATTGAATTCTCGATCATGAAAGTGACTACTATCAACTTCTCCATGTAGCTTCAGAGGAGATGCTGTATTTTGGCAGCTTGTTGTTCATTCCAGACTGAAGCCGTGCTACACCGCTCTGGGCTTCGTGAGCCCCGTTCATGTTCTCTGGACTTCAGTCCCAGTCCTTAGGAACGTGGCTATTGGGGCGTTCTCACTTACAGTGCAGCTGAGGCTTCCTCTTGGTGTGCAGTTCTTTCTGCTGTTCCTGGGCAGCAGGCCAAGACCTTTGCACGGTCTGTGGAAAAGCTGCTACCTCATTTTTTGGTGCTTCTCCCAGTTGTGTCGTGCTCTCGGGTATCCTCCCATTTTGCCTTCTGTCATCTGACCCTGTGATTTTTTTTTTTTTTATCAAGTTAAAACTGTATTCACCAGTAAGACGTTAAAGGGTTGTGATATTTGTCCTTCCTCCTGGAATCATTGATTTGGTGGCAATGCATAGACTCCTACCTTAACTTTGCCCTGCCTCTTGCCTGTTTTCCCAGCTCTCTGCAATGGGGAAAACCACTGATACCCATGAGCTGAGCAGAGCGGTAACCTCTTGAGAAGACTTTATAATTCGGGCAGTGTTTGATTACTGGGAATATCTAAATGAAAGATGTCATGTGCTGAAGTACTTTGACTTTGAGTGCGTAACTTGTATGACCTCCTTTTTTCCTCAGATACTAAATCCACTTTGGAATTCAACAGAGAACTAAAATCTACCAACCACAAGTAAACAGTGCTCAGCTGTGTCATAAGCTTGGCAAGGAGCTGAAATTACATTACAGAAGATTTTTACTGACAGTGGCTCTGATAAACATCCTAAGCTCTGTAAATCTTGTATAGAGGCGTTCCAAAACTCTCTAGTGTGTCCCCTCCTTGCCCTGAACTCTGTAGCTTCTCTGGTTAACCTGTAACATGAGCTTTTGGTAGCAGTTTTTATCTGTCTCCATTCTCTTGGTATCAAAGTACCAGGATATTCCCATTTAAATATTGCATCAAAGTGGGATCCCTAGGTGATGATGCCTGACAAAATTAGGTATGAAAAGGCTCCTCCAGACTGTAGTTTTGTGGCCAGCCAAGTCATATGGTAGCCTCAAGTCATGGCATAAAGGCTGGCTGATATTTTTTTCAGGAGAAACACCTGGAAATACCTTGCAGGATTTGCAAAGTAAGGAAATATTTTACCTGTAAGCTTTGCGGGTTTATTTAATACAATATCGGCTGCCCTCTTGCTCTTGGTTGTTGAACGGCTTCTGCATTCCAGCCTATAGGGAGGTAGTTGTACGTCAGTGTAGATCGAAAGCTTTTCTCTTATGTGTGGACATATTCACAAGGGTATGTATGCTGTTGGGATGCTTTGGGAATGTGGACGATACGTAATTGCTTTTTTGCTGGCTTATTGTTAGCTGTGGCTGAGTGTTTCTTTCCTGAGAGAGAGATAAGAGACAGCCTGAGGAGCTGAGTAATTAGTACATGCTCTGTAGTTGTGTTCAGTGGAAATTTTAATTGCTTGGAATTGCAAACAAGGGGTGAAATTGTAGGTACCTAAGATTAATATTGCAAACAGGAGAGCAAACAGTTCAAGGGATGGAGCGTCTGGGAAAGATCAAGTGTGATAAGAATCTGCTCAGTCTGAGGCAGAGAGGCCACCTGGAGGCAGTTTCCTCAGGCAGCCAAGAATGTGTGGAATGGGTTTTAAGTTCTTGTTTATAGATTGGAGCAACGGATTGTTCAAACGTGATGCTCAAGAGCTGAATTTTGCCTTGTCTGGAGGAAGCTGGCTGATCTGATATGTCGGGTGGAAGCAGGATTGGCAGCTGCTTGTTTTGAATGTGTCCATGCTGACAGGCTGAAGTCGGTGTGATGAAACCGGAGTGAAACCCAGCACTCGGTAAGCAGCTTGCTGCTTCCTGTGCAGTTTTCATACATAAATTCATTCTGGTTTGGAAGGCAAAATGAGCCACTCCTTTTTCAGCGATCCAGGGGACTACAGATTATCTTTTAGTGTACTTGGGCCTGGAAATTATCCAGAGGAAACATGCCATCTTCCCTTCAGATGAGTCGCATATTCTTTCTTTATCAACAACCTTTTCAGCTGTGTAAGGAAGGAGAGTCTGCATGGGCCCTTCCATAGGCTTTCATGGCATTCCAGAGGACAGTGTTTGAGCTATTTGGTTCATGCATTCTACCTTGTGAGGCTTGGAAATCAGTGCCCAGGAAACTGAACTGAGTGTGCAGCAACCCACAACATTTCATGAACGAAGTGCTGTGCTGCAGTTCTTCACAACCAAGGCCTGCCTTGATCAAGCTTGGGATCTGCTTCTGACCCTCAGACCTTCTAGCCTGGCATGACATTCCGCCTCTCGGTGAACTGAAGGCAGCACCTACTCTGACTTTAGAAAGGAGCTATAATTTGCAGAGGTCTGTAGTCTTTCCGATTATTCTCTTTCACAGATCCTTATTGCTCTTGAAACTTGAGAGATTGCCAAATGCTGCCATCTTCTTGCTGCTCTGTGAAGGCAGGATCCTTTTTCCAGATGGAAACACAAGTGTGATTAAAGATTTGGCTTTACTTGGAAGAGCCGTGAGATGCCCTATCCTTTGGCTCAGGACTTTGAAGCCTGCACCTTTGTTCCACAGACAGTTTATGTGCATTAGATCCAGCCCTAAAGTTCAGACCAAGCTACCATGAACCTCTGGGCTAGGCAGAGAGTGGGCTACCGTGGGATATGCAATGATGTGATGATGGTCTTGTGGCCTGGCTGTTTCTGTATCTGGTTGTCCAGATGATTCTTGCATCACTCTCTCTTAGTCCTGCCTTCTGGGTCTGTGTCCTTCCTAATTGCCCCATACCTGTGCATGTGTATGTCAACATGATGGCCTATGCGACCCTTCCCAGTCTGTTCCTAGTGCTGCCTCAGTGTCCCTAGCTTTTGTAGAGGTTCTGGCTTATGTGTATGAGTACACTTTGTCTCTTGTACTGTCTGATGAGTGGATGGAAAGGGGGCTTGCAAGAAAAAAAGCAAGTGAATATGCAAGTGAACAACTAGAGAATCTGTTCTTCAGGCCATAATGGGGGTAAAAGGGAGATTTGGTGGCCTCTTGGTGCTGTGGTCTGGTTGTCCTTTGCAGCAGCAAGCGGTCTTGTGTCACAGACAGGCAATGTTCCTGCAAATTTCAGGTTTGCTGTTACGTGGTGTCATCTGAGACCTCAGTTGCTGCAAGACAAGTCTAGCCAAGAGCTGGCTGAAGCTCAGAGCCCATGCAAGGGTGAAAAAGAGATTGTGTGCGGTGAATACTGTAAATGAACATGAAGCAAAGGGCATCTTTGGAGAAGAGTGAGGGATTGTAGGGCTGTCCTGCACAAGTAGAGAGCATGGCTTTGCTGTGCTGCAGCCTTGATGGGATGTTTGTGCTATAAAGAAGGATGGAGGTTTTACTTAAGTATAGCCTCAGAATCTTCCTCCTCCTCCCTGTACTACTCCTACATGAGAAGAAAACTTAGCCTTCTGAGTAGGATGGGAGCTAGAAAGATGGGAAAAGTCAAACTCTTCACAGTAAAGGAACAAATTTCATCTCCACTGATGCTAAAAAGCAAGTCATCCCTACGGTAATGGATGCAATGATGTGTTTGCCTGCGAGAGAACCAGACTTTCCCTTAAACTTCATATATCCAAAAGATTTGTTACCTGGTTCTTCCTGGTCTGAATTTCTTGCTTCCCCTAGCTTTTCATCTAGGTTTCTGTGTGCCCATTTGCGTGGGTTTTGTCTTGGGGCCAAGACCTCTGCTGGCAGAGGTCTGCTGAGCTCTCGGGACTTGCTTTTGGGGAGCTTGCCCCACTGTCCCTGAAGCCTCAGGAGGTGGCTGGGGCCCTCTCCCCTGAGATGAGTTACTTGGATCTGATGTGATGGGGATTGTTCTCTGCTGGATTTTCAACATAGAAGGGTTTGTTCTGTTGGACTTTAAAGCTCCTTGGAGTTTTCTCAGGTTAGGAAATTATCACCATGGATAGAAAATCTAAGAAGCAGTGAACAGCTTATCCTAAGCCCCCTCCCTGGAGAATTTAGCAGCCCTGCTTGGTGCATCTTTAGAAGAGGCTTGTGATGATCCTTGTTTCTCTTCTCTGGGATGTGGTTGGGGTTGCCTGTTTCCGTGAATTTCTTGCTTTGCAGGGCATGAAATGGCTTCATTCTGCATGCAGAGCAGCTTCAGGTGAAGCAAGAAGCAAACACACCAGCCCATAAGCAGTTAGTCTGTGTGCAGGATGGGAGGAGGCATTCTCATGTTTGTGAGGGACAGTTTTTTCTGTGCCTGGTATATGCATCATCAGGAGAATTTTTCCAAGGGCAGTGTTAATGCTGCAAACACTCTCTGCTCTGTATTACTGGCCGCCATCACTATGTGCCCCAATGCATCCTGGCTTCTAATCTTTCCTCCTTTTTCAGGGTTGGAGAGTGGATCCTGTTCTCCATGAGCACTGCCAGCTTGCCAGACCCTTGGTGTTCAGGTTTCTGCTTCCCCCTGGACCCAGGGCAACTGCTGCAAATCAGGTTTATCTTTGCTGGCAGCTGTGGCAACCAGGTTTATCTTTGCTGGCAGCTGTGGCAACCAGGTCTTAGGTCTTCTGTAGGGAAGGACCCTACGGAGGTTTCCTGTGCTCCATTTCCACCTGGCTGCAAAGCCTGCAATGTAGTCCCAGGTCTCCCTGTAATCTCTTGTATTTCATCTGCAGGTGATGACAAGTATGGACGGAAAGTCATTTTATTCAGTGCCTGCCGGATGCCCCCAAGTCATCAACTTGATCATGTGAAACTGCTGGGGTGAGTAGTGTCTGAGGTGGTGGCTGTTTGGCTTCCTTAGCCTCAATTCCCAGGTGCTGGCTTCTTGAGGCTGGTTTCATATGTGGTGGCTGCTTCAGCTAGACACATCCTTGCAGACTGCTTGTCTCCATTACTGGGGGCATCAGTCCTCTCTTACTGCGCCCTAAAATGCAGCCCCAAGGGAGAAAGAGCCTCTCTGAGACACAATTGTTGAACTTGCTTCATGCTCTATCTCTGCAGGTACCTGAAGTTCACACTGGATCAGTATGTGGAGAGTGATTACACACTGGTGTATCTGCACCATGGCCTGACCAGTGAGAACAAGCCATCCCTGGGCTGGCTGCGCGATGCCTACCGGGAATTCGATCGCAAGTGAGTAAGGAAGGCACCGGGGCAGGATGGAGTATGCTGTCCTCTAGCCTACCCTAGGAAGTCTTCTTCCTGCCCTATAGTCTACTATTGCTTGTATTTACTGTTTGGGGAGGTGAGTAATTTAATGCAGGCCAAATCATGGGCAACACAGCCTCTCTTGTAGTTACATCCTTCAGGCAACAGGCAAGCAGCAATACCAGGAACCAGCACAAAACGTGTTAGCCCCATAGTATAATTGTTGCTTCCTGATGAGGCTGCTCACTGCTCCTTGGGGCATCTTTGGTCAGTGTAGAACCTGTCCTCAAGCTGCTGGACTGCCTGAGACACATGGGAAGAGGAGGCCAAGCCATGGTGAGGCAAAGTGCAAAGGGGATGGGGTACTCACGGATGCTATAACCTAATGGAAAGGTTGATTCCTTTGCTTAAAGCACAGTTTATCCTCACTTAGCCTCTCTTGGCAGGTACAAGAAGAACATCAAAGCATTGTATATTGTACACCCAACTATGTTCATCAAGACCCTGCTGATTCTCTTCAAACCCCTGATCAGGTAGGAAGCAACGTAGGAAGCTCATGTGCATTGTCACACAGCGGGGTCATCCTGGGGCGTTCTCAGTGGGGCACAACATGAGCACAGGCTGCTGAGCGTGCCCTGGTGTCTTATGTGGTCTCCTTGTACTTCTGAATTCAGAAATATTTAGGCAAAAGAACAACTGCTTTGGGAGCCCACTGAGTTTGCAGCCCTGTACTGCTCTCTTGCTCTGCAGCCAAGCAGAGGCAACATGTTGCTGACTCTGCAGCTAATCAAAAAGGAAGGGAGAGCGTCAGTCCAGACTAGGTTTAGTCTCTTGTCTTCATGCTGTAACATAAATGAAAAGGGAAGTTTTCTCCAGCCTACTGCTGAGCTTAGGAAACGGAAGCCCAGGGCTTCAGGCAGCTCTGCTGTGGCTTCGAACATGACTTGGAAAGTCTTGGAAAGTCCTAATAAAATAGGACTTAAATAAATTTAGGCCTAATAAAATAGGCCTAATAAAATATTTTAAATTGAAGATCTTTGTGGGAGACGTTTCTGTTTCTTGCCTGTACCTGCTCTGTTGCCCCACTGATGTCTCCTGAAGAGCCATGTTCTCCTTGCCTTTGGGAGTCAATTCTTCTTATTCCAGATTTCCCGATTTCTTTATTTTTCAGCTTTAAGTTTGGACGAAAGATTTTTTACGTGAACTTTCTTAGTGAACTGGAGGAGTACGTGAAGCTGGAGCAATTGGGAATCCCAAGCCAAGTGCTGAAGTGAGAGTGCTGCCTGCCCTCCCATTTGTTTAGGGCTCTATGATAGGGGACCTTTCTGGGGGGGAAAGTGAAGGAGGATGGAAGGGTTTGTTCCACCCAGGCAGTGGTTAGCAGGGGAGTGGTGCCAAATTGCTGCAGAGACCTTTGTTTCTGGCTGTTTCCCTTCGTATGCGTCTGGCTCTTGTGCCTGGCTCTGTGCTGAAATTAAAAGTGCTTCTCTGGTGCAGTGCCTGTCCTCCTCCTGCCACCTACCACTTCAGGGCTCTCTGCAGACTGTGACTCTTAACACTGACCTGGAGCTCTTGCTGCTCGTCTGCTGTGTGTGGGTACCTGCTTTGGTTGCTTATCACAGGTTCATTTGTCTTTGGGGCTTCCCAAAGTCATCACAGTCCTGGCCCCACCAGACTGATTCCCTTTTATTCATGTAGGCAGCCAGCTGCATCATGAGCAGTGCTGCCCTGGCCTCCTGCCCATACTGTCTCTGATTTCTCCAGTCCATTTTCTGACTCCAGACAGATCTTTCCCTTTGTCTGCTTTTTCCTGGAAACCAAATGTTTGTCTTGGGCTCCTGAGCTGCATGTCCTGTTTTTGTGCAGGTGGAATCAACTGTGCTAGGCTGGAGCTTCCTAAGAGCTGTTACCATGGGTCAGCAGTGAGTCATGTGTAGAGCTGGGTTGCTGCTCTCTCTGAAATGTGGAATGGTTTTTTACTAGTCTGTGTTTTGCCACAGATATGATGAATATCTGAGATCCCTGCAGAAGCCCTCCCAAGTGCCACAGAAGCCAATACCCCCACGCCCGCCGCTGCCAAACCAGCAGTTTGGAGTCTCACTTCAGCAGTGAGTAGTTGTGGACTGTGTTGCTTTTGCCCTGCCGTGACTGATACGAAGTCACTGTATTTATAGGTGAACAGCTGCAGAAATAGTTGTAAAATTTCTTGCAGTTCAGACTTGCCAGAAAACTTGAGTCATCCTTTTGAGAAACTGTTCTCATGTCCAGATCCTGACTAACTTGGTTCAGTTCCACCCTGCTGATTTGCAGGCTACATCCCACTGTAAATTAGGATGGGATTGTTCTGCTGAAGGTGAGGAATTGTTCTCAGATGGCTCTGGGCCAAGGAGACCCTCTGAAGCAATCTGAAGACACATTCCCCAGCTTCAGCAGAACTTTCCCAAATATAAAACAAATACAAAACTTTCTCAAATATAAAACTTGCCTGAGCTTGTTAGTGGCCTGAGAGGATGAGTGACTCCATGCTTTGAAGAGGTGTGGACTGTCATGTGTGAGGGTGGCAGCTAACACGTTGGCAACGCCAGACCTTCTCTGCCAGTGGGTTTGGCATGTCTCCCATTACAGTGGGCAGGCATAGGAGGGACAAGTTTATTCTGTGCATCTTTCTCTCATGTGTCAGTTGCTTTCTGTCCTGTCCTACAGTGGGGAAGGAAAAGGGAAGTTGAGGCCTCTTCAGGAAGTTGTAACTAACATACTTGTCTTCTGGGAGCGTCTTTGCCCTGGCATCTTCATGCCATGATTTTTATAGAAGGCAGAGAAATATTTCTGTGGTGTGGTAACGAGCCCATACTTGCTCCAGTGAATGACTTGGCATAGGGAGTGAGAGGAGAGAAGGCTGGAGCGGTGGGTGAACTGGAGACGGGGCAGCAGGATGCCGTGTGCCAGCCAGGGATGCTGCTGGTGAGGGCAGGTGCTCGTGTGTGGGGCTGTGCGCGGGGCAGAGCTGAGCAGCTTTTTTAACCTTTCATCTCTTCCCACAGTCTGCGGGAGAAGAGCCCCGATCAGTCGGCTGTTCCTCTGGTGGTCAGGGAGACCATTGCCCATTTGCAGGAGCACGGTGAGTGATCAGGGAAGCTGCAGCCCCTCTTATCTCCACATTAATGGCCTCTACCCCATCCAGTTCCCATCCAGAGAGTAGTGAGACACAGCAAAATAGCAGCACAAAATAAAGTGTAAAGACTTGAGGCTGGTGAATTAGCCTTCAAGAGAGGTTGTGCAGTATCAGGCCCTGGCAGAGTTCTTTCTTCCTGCTGTCCATACTCCCACTTGGATAAGAACAGCAGGTGCTCCTTGTACTCTGTGCCTGCTGCTACATGTAGTCAGGAAGAATTTCAGTACCCTAAAATAGGAATGTGTCAGCATCTATCTGAATAACTTGCTACATGGATTTACAACTGTTAGGACTGGTGTTGGCAGAGACTCCCATGTGACTGACATTTCTTTTTTTTGCTCTCACTTTACAGCTCTTGCAACAGAGGGGGTTTTCCGAAGATCAGCAAATACACAGGTTGTCAGGGACGTCCAGCAAAAATACAACATGGGTAGGTGTCCCTACTCAGCAGAGCCCTTCTTGTCCTCTAACTCTTGCCATCCAAACAGAGCTGTAGTGGAGCTGCTCTGTGGTGGCCTCTCTCCTCTGGTGGGGCTGGGGGTGAGGCCTTGCTCTGCTATCAGGGCATGATCTGAGCTGCAAGGGAGAGGTGTCAGATAATGCTTCTGCTGTGTGGAAAACCTTCCTGAAATTTTTCCTGTTTCCCAGGGTATCCCATCATAGTGAGGACAGAAGATGATCCAGAAGAAACAATTTGCTTGGTTTGGTGACTTCTAGAAGTGTAGTGCTAAATTCATCAGTGCTTTACATGTGCTTTTGGAGCAGGTTTTTCTCCTTCCCCAGTTCTAGGCTCTGAATCTCAAGTCCTACTTTGGAGGAGATCGTGCTTTGGTTGACCAGTGAACACTGAATCTCTGCTCTACTTTTCCAGGTTTATCAGTGGATTTCCAGCAGTATGAAGACATCCACCTCCCTGCTGTGATCCTCAAGACCTTCTTGAGGGAGCTACCTGAGCCCCTCCTCACTTTTGACCTCTACAGCCATGTTGTCAGCTTCCAAAGTAAGTTGTAACAAGAGTGTGCTGCTGTCCCCTGAATATTGCACTGGGAAAAGCAAAGACACCTTCCAGACCACCCGTGATTGGAGAAGGGGCAGCCCTGCATGGGGTGCCCTGTGACTGCAGATTGGGCTTTCAGCAGCGGTGGGTGCTGAGGTCTTCCCCATTTGCACGGAGAGGTGAGGGTTTCTCATGGTCCTGCTTGCCCTGTGTCTCTCTCTTTATAGCTGTGGAGGAGGTGAATCGTGTGGATGTTGTTCGCAAAATCCTCCAGACTCTTCCAGAAGAAAACTACCAAGTGCTTCGTTTCTTGACAGCCTTTCTGGTGCAGGTACGCTGCTCACAAAGTAGGCAGTCAACTCTCTATTGCTGTCGTCAGCTTTTGACTGCCCACTCTCTCCTCCTCTTTGAAAGGAAATTAGGCTCAGGCCAGGAACTTGCCTTCCTTTACTGTATGCTGGTCTTATACAGAGTTTGGAAATGATCATGAGCAACTAGCCTAAAGCAATCCCTTCTCATAAACCTGAGAGGTGCAAGCAGGCATCAAGTCAGTGTGGTCTGTATTGAGGAGGCTGAAAGCTCCCTGGGGTGCATCTGCAAATTATCTGAGCAGAAGAATGAACTAGAAAAGGGGCCTCAGACTCACCCCAGAGGATCTTCTGTTCCTGGGAAGCCACTGTAAAGCCATGCTAGCCAGAAGGAAGATGACTGGCTAAAGTGATGATCAGGACCAAAGAAATATTAGCTGAGAGCACTCTCTGTCCTGATATCATGCTGTGTCCTTGGGATTGAACCAAGGCGAGATGTGGAAAGTAGCAAGATGTGTCTCCCTGTCTCCTGAATGCTGGTGTTTCCCCCAGCTGGTGTTCAGCTTCTGCAGCTGCCGTTTGCTCCCATTTGCCCTCAGCAGTCTGGTAACTCCGGCTTTGGAGAGGGTCGAGGGCAGCTGCTCTGCTGTTCTGTAGGATTCATAGTGGTATTTTTCCTTCACACACAGGTCTCTGCTCACAGTGACCAAAACAAGATGACAAACACCAACCTAGCGGTTGTTTTTGGCCCAAATCTGCTGTGGGCCAAAGATGTAGCCATTACCCTCAAAGCCATCAACCCCATCAACACCTTTACGAAGTTCTTACTGGACAACCAGAAGGAGCTGTTTGAGGATGTGGAGGCCTAAGCCCAGGCTGGCCCACACAAGCACACTGTGCCCACCTTCCTTCCCACCTTGTCTCGGAGCTGTGACCAAGGGACTCCATGCGAAGGGACTATTGATTTCCTGGGTGATGAGCAGCGTGAGGGCTGTGGAGATGGTGCAGTGTGTGAGTGAGCGAGCAGGAGCCCCCTGCTCCAGCTGGGGAGGGGAGCTGGTCTCCTGCCTGCTGCGAGTGGGGTCCCAGCCCACCAGTCTGTGCAGCTTCTCCAGGGCTCATCACCAGTCTGCTCCCAAGTAAGCTTCCTTCCTTCCTTCCTTCTTTCCTTTCCTCCTTCCTCACCTGTATTTCTTCTGCCCTCCTGGTCCCTAAGCAAAGACCCAATTTGTTCAGACTCCCCAGAGTCCCAGCACATCCCCCTTGTCTCAGCTGGGCTATTGAGGCCAGGGCAGGCTTGCTTTTTGGGGGAGGGTGGGGTGGGCAGGGATGTTCTTGCTGTGAGTCCCATCTTCTCAGCCCTGAACATGCATCCTGCCTTTCTCCAAAAGCACCTGAAGCAGCGAAGGGAGCAGGTAGCCCTCGCGCTTTAGGCAGTAGCATGTTGTGCACTTGGCAAACAGCTCTCCAGAGCCTGTGTGTTTTTGCAGGGAAGTGAAGGACAGGCTCAGCTGGGGGCCTGGGCTGCCCGGGGGAGCTGAGTTTAGCCCACCCTCCTTGGAGATCACTTTTGTAGATACTCTTCAGCTTTTGCTGGGGTTGGTGAGGTGCCTCCCGCAGTCACCCAGCTCAGGTGTTAATGTCCCTCCCACACCATTCCCAGCCTTGCTGGGAAGGTTTATGGCTGCGTGTGGGGCCTGGTTCGGGTCACTCACAGTGAACCAGAACTGCAGGGCGCAAGTTCTGCTGAACTTGCTGAACTGCTGAACACTCTGATGATCACTGCCTTTCCTGTCGCAACAGCACAAGGCCTCGCTGACCCTTTCAGGCACATAGATCTGTGCTGACTGGCACGGACTGCCTTGGCCATTCCTTTTTTCTTTAGTTTGAGCAGAACTTTCTCCAGCACCGCATGACGGAGAGCCTGGCCTCCAAGGAAGGTCTGGGGACTGGGGCTAGCCCTTACTTTGGAGTACAGCAGACCTGGCTTTCAAGTCTCTGCCCAGATGCTGAACACTCACGTGCCAAAACTTGGGGGACTGCTTTTCTGTGCCCATCTCCTGCTCAGTTCACACTTCCCTTCCATCCTACTGTGGAAGCCTGATCTGATGCCTCCTGTGTGCCCTGGGCATGGATAGGGAAGTCTGGGTCAGGCTTAGAGCAGGGTGGGCTTGGTGTCTTCCCAAAGTAGCTGCAACACGGTTAGTGCTTCGTTGTCGCCTTTGGATTGCAGCATTCCCCTTACTTGAGCTAAAGGAGACCCCTCTCCTTAGCCTGGGCCTGAGAGGGTGCTAGTGGGGAAGCTCCTAGCCGTACTCGAGCAGTGTTTTGTCTGGGGCCTTGCATGCCCACATCAGTCTTGCTCCCTGCTGAATCTGTCCATAGGGACAAATGCGTTGGACCAGGCAGAGCTCACTTTTTAAAAGGCATTAGAGTCTAAATGGAATTTACTTTTTTGTAGTATTTTAACCTGCCTTTAAACACCAATTGAAGGTTGGTGCCTTGGTTGTAATCACAGTAATTGCCTCAGGGCTGCGGTGCATCCGCAGCAGGAGCCGTGTAAGCTGCTGCTGCTGCTGCACCCGGTCACGGGGCCGGGGTGGGCACCATCCCAGGCCGAGGCCGCCGCTGCCCGGGCAGTGCCCACGCGGAGCCCACGCCTGCCCGGGGCCGTGTGGGGCAGGCGGAACCGCGAGCCCCAGGCCGGACGGCTGGAGCACGAGAGGCTCCAGGGCTGGCTCTGATCCCTGTGAGGGGCTGGGGGCCTTTCCCCTGTGGGGACTACCAAGCTACTTAGTCTCCCTGCCATAAGAGGAAGAATCTCCCCTGTTTGATTAGGCTATACATTTTCAGCATATAAGGTTCTAGCCTGGACAATTCATAGTAGTAGTTAAATAAGGTTTGGAGGCAACGCTTTGCTCCCGAATCACCTTGAGTCTTTGCTGGAGTGAGGGGAGAGGGCTGGATCGCTGGGGAGAAGCGCTCGGCTCCAGGAGCGGGGCCTGAGCGGGCGGCCTGGCAGGAGCCAGGCCCCAGGGAGCGGGGGAGCCGCGGCTCCGGGGGCGG